TTAGTTCATATTAAGATCATAATTATGATTTTTCAAAAATAAAAAATACTGTTACATAATATTTGTTAAAAAATATTTTTACATAATACAAAATATACTTGGTTAATTAAGACAATAAGAAAACCCAAAATTTACTGAGACCACAGCTTTCTGCGCACCCAAAATCAAGCCCGATATGTGAGTTTAAGGCTTTAAGCCCGAAAAGTACATTTCAACAACCATCAAAGATAATTAGGGTTGCAAACTTTATACAAATAAAAAGGGCCAAACTCTTCTCTACCCGAAGACCCTACTCAGAGCCGCAGCTTCTTATTACCCTCAGGTTTTTGCTACTCACTTGGATCAACTTTCTGTATAGACATCGATAATTTATTTAGAAATCAAATTAACATTGTTTGTGTTCGTTGGTTTTTTGGATTTGGGTGAGCAGAAATGGCGAAGTCAAAAAATCACACAGCTCACAACCAATCTTACAAGGCTCACAAGAATGGCATCAAGAAACCCAAGAGGCACCGCCACACTTCCTCCAAAGGGGTATCCATCATCTAATCGGTTTTTTTTTGGTAAATTTGAATTTATGATTTATTGATTTTAAATAAAAAATTATGTTTTCCTCTTTGATGTGTAGATGGATCCAAAGTTAAGGAACCAGAGGTATGCGAGGAAGCACAACAAGAAGAGCGGAGAGTCTACCACTGAAGAATAGTAAAATTTTAATGGCAAATGGTGTAGCTTTGTCTTGTGTTTTCTAATTTTGGTTTTTGCTATGGAATTGGGTGTTTTTTTCCCTTTAATCATATTATCAGTTTTTAGTTGTATTGTTATTCTGGTATTACTGATTCTCTTTGTTAGAAGAGATTTGAAGCTGTGATCTTATCAATATCAAGAGCATGTTGAGTTTTGGCTGCTCTTCATCCCCCTCTCTCAATATGTAGTATTAGTCAATTAATTTGGTTTCTCTTTGTATAAGTTTCATGACTTTCATTTTTATGAAAATTGTTCTGGAATGGTTGATGATGCCCATAGGGCAAGTTTATTTCTATTCCCATTTTTAAATTAGAGAGATTCATGGTCGGGTGCTTTTTAAGCATTCTTATTTAGTAGAGTATTAAGGAATATAGCCTATAATTGTTGCTGGATATTGCCTTGTTTTTAGTGGTAGGCGACCGTGAATCACAGTATCTATTGAAGCTGGTTTTAGGTACTGTTGAATACTTCGTTGGTGTCGGAGAAGGAATTGTGTTGGCTTGTTTTATGCTTCTACTATATCAAATGATAACCTGTGCAGAATGTGGATTTAGGTACTTGTTCTACTGTAGAATGTGGATTTAGGTACTTGTTCTACTGTAGAATTTGGATTTAGGAACTTGTTCTACTTGGGGATGGCAAAAAAAAACTCGAAAGTGATGGATTCTTACGGATGACGGATCGATAAATATTTGCAAGTATTAGCACATTTACATAAATTTTTCTTACGGGTGGATACAAATAAAATTTCAAGTTGGACACTCTCAATAAAATGAATTACTAACATAAATAAATTTATATTTTAGGGTGGATGCATGTCCGTATTGTAAAAAGTTTAGATCCATTATTGATTTTGATCTAATCTGATTTGATAAGGTTGAATTTAAAAAAAAAATCTATGTTTGGATTGAGTTTAGATTAGATTTTATATAGTGTGAGGTCTTGTTCGAGTAGAAGGGAAATCTTTGACTCATATAATGTAATTTTTTCACATAAATTTATGGATAATTGTAATGATAAGTCTTTATTTATGTATGGTTGAGTTGGGTTGGATTGGGTTTATACTCTCAAAATTTATATTGGATTGGGGTTGGATAGAGGAAATATTTTCTTTAAGTTGAGTTAAAAATATATATTTTTTAAGTAAGTTCAAGTGAAGGGTATATATTTTTTAGGTTGGATTTGGTTAACTAAAATTAACTCAATCTCAGTATGACCCAGTGTCATCGTTTGTTCTTCTTATTTAACTAGGAGAGTGGTCGAATCAAATATTTACCACAAACCATTATGTTTCACAGCTTGCATTTGGGGGGTAAATTATTGATTTAGAGTATAAAATATTTAAGGAAGGATGAAAAGAAAAAATTTGCAGAAAGAAAAAAATATAATAAAAAATTAAATTAAATTAAATATAAAATAAGAGAATAAATTATAAGAAGGTAAATTTGTTGTTAAAAATGGGATTCACGTTTTATAGATATTCTATACTTATTGAAATTGTATAGACATTCTTGAAGTTACATAGATATTTTATAATGTTAGAGGAGCATGTGATTCAAATTTAATTAAAATTTGATTTAAAATGATGGAGGAATTAAAGGTAGCAAAAAACAAGGATGAATATTTAATTTAACTGAGTTATCAAGTTAAATTATTTTGAATTAATTGAGTTAATTAAGTTAAATAATTTTGAATTAGTTGAGTTGATGAGTCATTTTATTATTCAAATTTTGTTATACAAAATTACAATGAGTTACAATATAAGCATATTATGATATTTTCTTATAACATTGGCACAAAAATTAGCCTCTTAAGATCATAAAAAGATACAAGGAAAAAGTTAAAAATCTAACAAAAATTCGAATAAAAGATAGATGTAAACATATTTGACACCATCAAACAAATCACAAAAAGGAGTTCAAATTACTAAAAGATCATCAAAAAATCGTAAATTAGAATCGAGCGAAGTGATAAAACTGTCCACGAACGTATATCTGTATCTAAATCTAATCTAATGATTCAAAGCAAGAAATTCAACATAATAACAAATGAGCGATATCTTGATCAATCGTAACGATGACAAATCTAACAAGAGAAAAAAGATAAACGAAAACAACGATCAGACGATCAAAAATAAATTAAAAGGAAAATATAAACGTGTTATAAAGCAAAGTTATTAAAAAAAAAGAAAAAACAAAGATGTGATATAAAAAAATAAGAAAAATAAAATAAAAAATATCGATGATAACGATCGACATTAAGATTGATATCCCGTCTATCGACCAATAATAAAGAGAAAAAAAAAGACAATTGATTACAAATATTAAAAAAGGGCTTTCCTACACTTAAGGTATAATATCTTGAATTAAGAAAAATTGCACCACTCCATTAATTAATCAAAACAGGTGGTGTAAGACGACCATCAAATAATTAATTTAAAGAAGCATTGTTGAAATAAATTAAGGGAAAGTTTATGCTATAAAAAATTGTTGACAACTATGGTTGGATCAAGTCTACTTGCAAGATTCTCATGTCCGACAATAATATAGTATATTTTTTTTATAAAATAAGAGCATTTCAACGAAAAGAATAAACAATAATTTGGACCAAATATTTGTAGGAGGCTTTAGTTTTATTAATAACATAATTAGATATATGTTGCCGGAGCTTAAATTCAATTATTAATATAATAATTTAAACAGTAATATTGATATTTGAGATATACATATTTTAAATTTGATTAATTAATTAAAATTTTAATAATATGAAAAGTCTGACAATAAGAGTCACATCACTATAGTTAAAAATGATAAAAGATTATTTATTATTTTGTTGAATTATTCAACTATTAAAAATTATAAAATGATCTCTTAATTATAAGACATTAATTTATTGAGTCTACGATTATTAAATGTTACAAAATATTTACCGGACTATTTATATGTTTTAAATTTATAATTTTTTGTTTAAAAATTAGATGTTGTCTGAACTGGACGCAGTCTGTCCTGAAGATGTGGAGGCTAGGGGTGTTAAAATCCGGGTATCGGGTTTTTAGGTACCCGAAGTTTCGGGTACTCGGGTCCTCGGGTACTTGATTCGCCAACCTGTGTTCCGGATTTTGCAGGTACCTTAATCCGAGTAATCAAGTACCTAATTTTTTTTATCATTTTCAAATTATTAATTAAAAAAATATACACAAATTTAAATGTTCGAATTACATACTCCAACATCTAAACATATCATTTAAAAGTTCGAAATACAAAATCTAATAATCTATAATATAAATAGAACATGAAATTTCATAGCTAACTAGATAAGTAGATATAATCAACTTAATAAAACATAAATGTAATCGGGGTACTCGGGTAACCATGTAAACGAAAAATTTAATTTTGTGACCCATGCCCTATCTCAGAAATGTCGGGCCCGATACCCGACCCATAACTTGATTTTTATAAAAAAAAAATACCTGATTTTTTTTTATCGGGTCGACAAGTCGAGTATTTTTTAACACCTCTAGTGAAAGTCGTGTTTTCTTTTAAAATGAGGCCTTAAAATATTTTATGATAATGTAAAATTGTAAAATATCAAAATTTATCATATTATGATTGTTTCTTAAAAAAAAAAATTCAAACATATGAAATTAAGTTTTCTTCATGGTGTATAGTAGATTTTTTTTTAGTGTGGAGCCCTCAAAATTTGAGACACTATGACATATCATATACAATACTTATTAAGGGACAAACTTGACTAGACGTAAATATATTGATTAAGATATGATAAATGTTGATTCTAAAATCGTTCGAGCTGTATTTTATCAACTCTTCTTGTAAATTAAGTTGTTAAGTTAATGCTTTAAACATTATACCGTTGAGTCAGTGATCGAAAGCAACTACAATTTCAATAGATAATAAAGTAAGTTAATGTTTAGATCTTACTACCATCAAATTTTAACGAAAAATAATAAGATTAGAACATATAAATAATCAAACGATCATTTTATAGTTTTTAATAATAAAGAGACTCAATAAAATAACATCTTATAATTAAATTTTTTTTAATAATTTTTAATAATCAAATAACTTAATAAAATAATATTTTATAATCGATACTATTCTTATGCTTTGCCCTAATTAAAATCCTGTATAATTTAAAAAAGAAAACAAATCAGATGAGTAATAAATAAAACAAAAACAGCCTATAAAATAATCTCTTGTTATTCTTTCGACCTCTGAAAATTTGTGTATTTTCCTTTGTTTTCTGAAGTTTTTGTTTACTTCAAAGTCGCCCTTCTCTCAATCCAATAAGGCGGCAATAGAGGAAAGAAAATCCTTCTCCTCATCTCTTTTCTCTTCAAAATTACTTTATAATTTCAATGGCGGCCTTTCACTTTACCATCTCCCCTTCCTTTGTTCCCACTCTCCTTCACTTTTATCTGTTTTTGCTCCCTCATCCCTCAATTACCCTTTCTTTCTAAGTCCCTTCCCCCTCCTCGAATTTGGGTCATTTTTTCTTTCCAGTTTGATAGCCTAAACCTAGAGAGCAGGAGGATTTTTTTTTTTTGTTTTTAATTCTAAAATAAAAGTTTATCTGTTGCAATGGAAGATCCAAGGCAGTTGAGAAGGGCATTGCTTGATGCCACAGCAGGCGCTATTTCCGGTGGCATTTCCCGGACGGTTACTTCTCCTCTTGATGTTATTAAGATCAGATTTCAGGTAAAACGGTTTTTTTATTTCAATTCGAGAATATTATGAATTACTGTTATTAGTATTTGCATTTATGAAATTATTTATGTTTTTTTGTTTTTTTTTTTTTATCAATATGAATGGAAATGGTAGGTGAAAAGTGGAAGGATGGATACGGTGGGTAGAAAAGTTGTATGTGTAAAAATGATTTTTAAAATTGTGATTGATAAGAGGGAAGTAAGAGGTGAAAACGAAATAGGGAGAGAGAAGAGATGGTATTTCTGACCAATATGCTCAAATTATTAATTTTTATGCTGGAATGATAACAAAAGTGAGAAACAAAATGAAAGGAAAATAGAAAAAATTAGAGAAATTTGAGTCTATTGTGCATATTTGATTGTTCATTTTTTTTAAATTATGATATTGATCTTAATTTGTTAGATGTATAGTTATAAAGTAATATATAGTTATTTTTTTTGAACTTCACCAACCAGTGAGTAGAATGAAAATCTTCCTATCATGGCAGAAAGAAACATATGCTTTTCTATTTTCTCTTTCATTTTTCTCATTCTATTGTTATCCACTCAACGGAGCAAAACCTTGGTGAGAAAGTTGTTAGGCCTAGCACAATATTAATTTAACCAAATTTAGTGTATTTTGTAATGTTGCATCTCAAAAATATATACTTGCTGTCAAGTGATCATAATATTTAGTTAAATCATCCTTGAAATATTTGACTGTAATTTAAGCTGGAATACAAATTCATGCCATTAAGTGTCAAACAACAAAAATATAGTAATTGGAAACATATCCTCATTAAAATTTGTATGGTTCTTATAATTTCAAATCACATCCTATTCGGTTGTCCGTTTCATAATCCTTCATTCATTCACATGTTCTTACGAGAGCATGTACTTGTCTCCTTTCAATGTTTATATCGCTGTAAATGTGCTTTCATCAATTTATCCACACTGCATATTATCTGCATCTTGTCCCATATGCACTCATTTATCATTTTATTCTTGCACATTAGTGAAGAATTTCATCTCTGCCACACTCATTTTATTTTGGTATGTTAATGCCTTGTTCCCGACATGAAAGCTTTTATTTTCCCATGCGTATAGGTTCAGTTAGAGCCCACAACTTCATTGGCTTTGCTTCGCAGAGATCTTTCAGGATCAGCAAAGTATACTGGAATGTCTCAAGCAACAAAGGAGATACTGAGGGAAGAAGGTTTACCGGTATGAAGGCCATTTTCTTCTAGACTGTATGTTTATGTTCTTTTTCATTTTATTGATTATGATTAACCGTATTATATAAAGAGCTTATTCATTTATATAGTTTGCTGCATTGTTAGTTAACCTTCTCTTTTCTGTACTGTGTATGCAGACTTGCCTGAAACCCTGTAGATTTGCCTTCTTTTTTATTTTTATTTTATTCATTTTACTGGTGCTTATGACAGGGTTTTTGGCGTGGTAATGTCCCGGCTTTACTTATGGTTATGCCATATACGGCTATACAATTTGCTGTGTTACACAAATTGAAAACAATTGTTTCCGGTTCTTCCAAGACAGGTACTTTAGAGCAGATGGTGCCTTTTTCGTGAATTATCAAAAGTGAGAAGAAATAAATGATATATTGAGACTTCAGAATAATCCAGGACATACAGTTAATCAATATTGAATAATAAAAAAAAATTTATAGCTTTATGTTCTCTGTTGTATTTGTAGATTGGAGTATTTGGCTTTATTGTTTCATATGAGATTTTTGCATTGTTTCTTACGTTATGCTTTGTTATGGTCTTGTTTTATGATGCTGCAGTGGAACACCTTAATTTAAGTCCCTACCTATCTTATATCAGCGGGGGTTTAGCAGGTTGTGCAGCTACTGTTGGATCTTATCCTTTTGATCTCCTTCGTACTATATTAGCTTCGCAAGGTGAACCTAAGGTATTCAACTTGACCAATGCTATAATGTAATTTTCTGCTTTGACAGCAACACCTTGAATTGTGTGAAGGAAATTTACGAGATTGTAACCTCTTATGCACCCTAATGAGTGTCATCTGCAAAAGCTTTGATATTTTCAAGTTAGTTAATTATTTGATACCTCCTGATTACATATAGGTATATCCCAACATGAGATCAGCACTCTTTGATATAATTAGTACTCGTGGCTTTAGAGGATTGTATGCTGGGTTGTCGCCAACATTGGTTGAGATCATTCCCTATGCTGGCTTGCAGTTCGGCACATACGATACATTTAAGCGTTGGAATATGGTGAGATTTTGTTCATTATATGTTGAAAGGATCTTTTCCCTGTAAATGCTTGGTATCTGTCATATGTGCATCCTTTTCATCTTGTTTCTTGTTTGAGTGTTTTACTTTCAAGACAAGGAAACATGGGGAGTAGATGTTATTAAAATCCTTTATCCGATTGTCTGAACATTCTATTGTGAAATTTCAATAGAATAATACACAGAATAGATAATAAATTTCCAATATGTTATTGTTTTACAAAGTACAACCTGCATCAGAATTCATTATGTTCAGTTAAGCATTCACTTGGTACAAAATTTAGTGAATGTTAGATAAATCGAAATTTCGCGGATATTTTTACATTTTATTTGCTCTCCTTGTATGTTTAGTCTTGTTCTGGAAGTTTGAATATATATTTTGAAAATAAATAAATAAATCCTTTTTATTGTATGGTTTTGGTTTTTACCTTGTTATTGTCTTAGGCGTGGAATCAGTCGCTCGATACAAGCTCAACCACAGATCATAGCCTTTCAAGTTTTCAACTTTTCATTTGCGGGCTAGCAGCTGGTACTTGTGCAAAACTCGTCTGTCATCCTCTCGATGTAGTCAAGAAAAGGTTCCAGGTAAGATCTGCACGCTTCTTGAACCTATATTGCCGGAAGACAGCATCTCCTAATTTTTAGATAAACTTCTATTTGTTATATCTAGCACTCAAAGTATTACATATCATTTAATTAGGCCTCCAGACTGTTTTGCCGTGATTATCCAGTATTCACTTAACTTTGTTGCCATTGGCTGTTGCAGGTTGAAGGACTACAAAGACATCCGAAATACGGTGCTCGAGTAGACCAACATGCTTATAAGAATATGTGTGATGCCATACGACGAATCTTGCAGTCAGAGGGTTGGCATGGTCTCTATAAGGGAATTATTCCGTCAACAATCAAAGCCGCACCAGCAGGTGCCGTAACATTTGTGGCGTACGAGTTTACATCAGACTGGTTAGAGTCCATTTCAAGTTGAAATCTACGTAACTGGCCTTTTTCATTTTTGTTTTCTTGATCATCTATTAGATAATTCATTAATTTTCCTGGATTTTTCAAAAGCTCTCGTAGGATAGAAAGGGGGATATGAATATGAATATGAAATTATAACATAAAAGTGTCATTGTTTAGAGACAGTAAGTTCATGTATTTAGAATACAAAATCTGGGGGTGAAATCAAGACGTAGAGCAGAGTAACATTTTGTGACACTTGTTTGAAATCAATGAAGTGTTATTTCTTTTTGACAGTTTTACTGCAACCATTAAATTCCCAGGATATTACAGTTGTATTTGACAAGGACATATCATATTACTGTCACCTATCTGTTTTTTTCCGTTAAGAGTGTAAAGTAATAATGATGTAACAAGGACATCTAATTTGACTAAAACAAATAAATATGTAATGTGCTTACAAAATATGTATAAAGTAAGTTGTTAAAATATATAAAATGTATTATAGTTGTAGAAATAATATGTTTAGGTTTTAATTTTGTTTAATTTATGAAAAAGTGATTCTAAAGAGATCTCTAAAATTAGTTTTCAATTAGAAGTTCAGTTTTTTTTTAAATGGTCAATTTAATTTTATAAAATTTGGTCACAAAATCGATCCTTTCTCGCCTCCTTTTTATTAAAAAAAAAAGCTAAAGAAGAAAGAAACCGATTAGTCAAAAAAATGTACACGTAAATCATACCATGCAATAAGAAGTAACAAAATAAACAAAAAGTTCAAAAGAAAAAGAAAATATCATTAAGGTTCAAACAGTCATTACAACACATCAAAAGCATCTTAAAATCCAAATGACTTGAAAAATAAAGTAAATATCCAAAGCAAACACAAGGTGTAAGGCCAAAGTACCCAAAGCATAACGTACGAAAATGAGAAACGTGGAACATGATGCCTAATCCCCTTAAGGAGGGACATCAAACATGCCACATTCTCTCCATCTTCTATGGGTGGTTCGGGTTACTCGACCTTTGATATAACCCATTCACAATTCTTTTCATACTCGAAATGATAAAGAGGACCATAACCAAGTGCGCACTAAATGTCCATAGGTGGGTAGACTCAAGTATTGATCTTAAGACGACGAAAAATTTACGAAACGTAGGTATCAAAGAAAGTGTGCTTTCGCTATGAAGGTCATTTCCTATGGCATTGATTATCAAAGAAAGTGTGCTTTCGCTATTAAGGTCATTTCCTATGGCATTGATTATATTATCGACCATGATAAGAATAAGGTCGGGACGAGTTTTGAATCAGAAGCAACCTACTCTTCAATAGTCAACGGATCAAACTGTGACATATTACGAAATAAACATAAGGATATATAAGGTGGAGGAAGAAGGGTTCAAGTCTCATGCATTGCCACTGGAAATGCGCAATGTGAGATTAGAATTAGGAGCTTTTTCATTGCCAATCAACTCTTCGTTGGTCCAAAGGAACATCGTTTCCTTTACACGTTTTATTCCAGCTAATACAATGGATTCCGCTTCGTATAGTTTCCCCACTAGGATTAACTTATTAAGGAATTGATGTCATCACACAGGATGAAATAGCTGTTGCAACCCATTTGACGAGGACCTCTCTATCGGCTTGGGATAACATCTTACTCTTCCATCCATTTTGCTTCCCCCTAACTTGATCAAAAATAAAGCCAAGTGCTTCCTTTTTCACTTTACCCCTGATTGATGGAAGACCCAAATATTTACTATCTTCCACCTAACGCCAGGTATATTGATCGTGTTGTTTTAAGCTCAAACTAGTATTTAGAGAGAAGAAGATTGGAGATTTTTTAGGATTAGCAATTTCCAATAATAAAATTATGGAATTGTAATAAGGATAATCTATCATTTTCAATACAATTTGTAGTAGTAACGTAATAAAAATACATCGAAATAAAATTAGAAATGTAAATCTAGAACAAAATCTATAATTGGACATAATTAGATAAACTAAAGAATAAATTTTTTAGGTAGGTATAAATAGTTTTTTTAAGACAAATTTGTCATCTCCTTGATTCTTTGAGTAGCGTTGGACGTCAGTCTCTCAAGATACAACGACAAATGATCACAATAGTAAGCACAATAGCAATGACCAGTCAAACACAATTGTACCTTTCTCTATCACCAAAAAGAACAAATTTGGAAAGAATTTTTCTTAGTCTTTTTCTTTTCAAAGTTGTGTCTAAATTGTGTCTCAACTAGCTTTTATATAGTGGAGAGGAAATGAATTGAAATGTTAAGACCATTTGATGAAGAGAATTGTTAAAAAAAACTAATAGATATGATTGAATGAATACAACTTTAAACTAAAAATTAACAAGTCTATTCACCAAGTGACATGACTTATTATTAGCATCAATATCATTCAATTAATCTAATTTTTTTCCAACAATCTCTCACATGGATGAAATTATCGGTTTAAAAAAATTAACTCAATAGATGATAGATTTTTTGTTCTATAGTTATATAGGTTAGATAGACATCCCTTGAACATTCCCTTGTAAAAATATGTTTACTTTGATGGTTGTCAGTGGACGTGATGTCCTTTAAATGTCCTATCGTTTGTGTAAGTGATGACATACCCCACACAAATACCTATTTGACAAGAATTTGATTCTCATGGTTATGTCCATATAACAGCGGACATACCTTGGTTCCATAAGATCTTAGAGAATTATGTCCCAATAGTTTCCTTGAAGCGGGTCCACTTCACTTTCATATAGGCGACTCATGTTGTTTGATTCACTAAAATACATGATGGTCATTAAAAGAATTGTTTAACTTTTTTTTCTCATAATTTAATCATTGTTTTCATCATATAAATGACTTGGGATACCCCATAGTAACTCACAAGGTCTATGCAAGTTGGTTTTCCCATTGAACTTAGATCTTGAGATCTCCAGTCAATTAGGTTAGATTTTTCTTCACATAGTACCTCAACAATTCATAGGCTTTAGTCTCATTCCTCTTGATATTTTATCAACTTGATCTCGATTCAACGTTTTAGTTAGTTGATTCGCAATTCTATCTTTTAATCTTCCAATTGATATTAATAGAAATAACTCTAATTGATATCAACCATCCAATGATATTATGTTGATGATGCATGTGTATTGACTTACTATTATACATAACATTATGTGGTGTACCGATTATTGTTTGGTTATAAAAATATATGCATATTCTAAGCACATGCTTTGACCATTCAAGAATATCCTCTAAAAATTTTGTTGTCATTCTGTATATTCTCTAGATTTATCTAAAGCTACAAATTCAGATTAAATTGTGGATCTGATTATAATTGTTTGCCTTGAAAATTTTCATGACATAACTTCTCATTCCAATGTGAAAATATAATCATTTGTACCTTTGATTTATTGAATACAAGATATCCAAATGCATTAGAGAATCATTTTAACACAACAGGAACTCTAGAATAATATAATTCGTAGTTTCAAGTATATCTAGGATATTTCATTACCATTGCAATCGGGTTTCAGTGGTTCTCCTCTAGATTGTTTGTGAATATGCTTAAACTGCTTACAGTGAAAGCAATATCATGTCTAATGTAACTCATAAGGTACATTAGACAATTTATGAACCTTTTATAGTTAACACTTTCACCTTTATTTTTGGATAAACATTAACTTGTATCTATTAGAGTTCTGGCTATACCAAAATTATCTGTCAATTTTTTTTAAGAATTTTATCTACATAGTATGATTGTTTTAATATAAGACCTTCAGATGACCTTTTAATTTGGATACCTAAAATCATGTAAGCAAGTCTCATATATTTCATGTTAAATCTTAAAGTTAACATTTTTTTTGTACGTTTTATCATTTTATCGTTACTTCTAATAATGAGTATGTCATCAACATATAAATATATGATTAAATATTCATCAACAGTGGTTTTGAGATACACAAATTTATTACACTCATTAATTTTAAATTCATTTGATATCATGACATTGTTAAATTTTTATGCCATTACTTTGGTGCTTAGTTAAGTTCATACAATCACTTCACTGACCTACAAACATTATTTTCTTGTCCTGAAGCTATATGACCTTCAGGTTGTTTTATGTAAATCTCCTCATTAAGGTGTTTATCTAGGAAAATAGTCTTAACATCCATTTGATGCATTACTAAGTTTCATAAAGCTAAGATTGTAAGTATCATTCTTATAAAAGTTATTCTTGATACATACAAATACATATCAAAGTACTCAAGATTTTTCTTTTATCGGTAACCTCTTATAACCAATATAATCCTGAATTCATCAATTGTTTGATCTACTTTTATTTTTTATTTAAAAATTTCTTTATAATTTAATGTTTAATTCTATAAGAAAGATCCACTGATTCACACGTGTTTACATGATGGAATGAGTTTCACTCTTAATAGCATCTTTCCACGAAGTGCTCTTAGATGAGCATATAATTTCACTATAAGTTTATGGTTTAATCTTTAGCTTATAGGTTAGAAATCCAATCTAAATGACTTCTCCACCCTCGCCCCTTCATTTATTCTTAGCTTTGTGTAACACCCCAAATCCTGAGTTAGGAGTTTTGGGCTACACAGAGAGATCCTTGGATAAACTCATTAGCTTATAAGAAGCCTTAATCCAAGTTTGAGTGGATATGAGCTTGATTTGGGATCAATTTGGAGTTAAAAAGGGTAGTTTTGATTTAAGCCTACAAATTGAATGACCAATGGAGCAATTATACCAATTTTATTTTAAAATGATGAATATCATTAATTGGGATGATATCGCGTTTGAAGTCTCCATCTTTTTCCCCATTTTCCTTTGTCTTCTTCATCTTCTCCAAGAATTGATCAAAGGTTGAAACTTCATAGTCTTGCAAGCTTAATATGGGAACACCAAGGTAAGGGTTGTTGTTGGGATTTACGGAAGCTCGAATCGATAACTGAAACGGTTTGCAAAGAGGAATCGAAACGGTTTTTGTGTTTAGGGAGTAAGGAGATTGAAAAATAGAAAATTGCACAGCAATTTATAGTAGTTCGACTTCTCAACCAAGTATACATCCACTACCTTAGCTCTTCACCAAGGAT